GAGAGAGAGAGAGGGCAGACATCCTCCTTTCCCTTTCTCTCATCCCTTCGCTTTCTTCTTTTCTTCCTCCACCCTTTTTTTCCCCCTTCCTTTTCCTTTTTTTCTTCTTTCTTCTCTCTTTTCTTCTTTTCTCCAGTTCGTGACGAAGAGAGGACATGCGCATGCAGATCACGTTGGTTGTAGCCAAGTGATAGCGTATCTGTGGGCGGCGCGTGCGTGTGGTCCTTCTATGTCCCCTTTAACTCCCATCCTTACCTTCGTCTCTTCCACCATGCTCGAGGTGGAACGGTCCTCCAGTGTCTCTCTCTCTCTCTCTCTCTCTCTCTCTTTTTATCTTCTTCTCTCTTTCCACCGCTCTTTCCACTTTTCATCTTATACCTGGATCCTCTATCCTGGATCCTACCGGTTTATACCTCTCCTCGCTTTTAAATGAGGAAATGACAGAGTTAATATGCGATTTTAATACGTGTCTACCTGACGATACGCTTTCCGCGCCGTGTCGGCGACCAAAACGTTCTTTTTCCTTCCCCTCCTCCCTTCCTGGAGTTTACAACTCGCCTCCTTTTCTCCCTTTCTTTCCTCTTTTGGACGGGGACGTTGGCCCGACGTTGGTTTTATTTATTGCTCATTTGTTACAATGTTCACGGTGGCTCGATCGATCGGTCGAAGAAAAACATTTTGGTGTAAAAATTTTCGATTTCTATTCGCAAGATTGCGATTCGGGAAGGCGATTAATTTCACGAATCGGTGTATTTACATAGTTGCTTAAGAGTGAAAGAGAAATAATAGGGGGACACGTGAAGGGGATTTATCGACCCGCGTTTCAACATTTTGTTGACATAATTATTTATCGGTTTTATTAAATCATAAGAGATAATGTGTAACTTGGATTTACACGATGGGGAATATATGTGACATATTAATATTAGTTTGCGCTCGAGGGGACACGGGTTTGGAAAGCAAGATCGGATATAATTGATTCCTTGGGTCATTAACATACATTGAAATCAGAAATACGTTCTACAATCTTGTTAATAACATACTTTGGAAATTTATGACATAGTTTAGAAAACGTTATGGATAGACGTTGGAGCAAGGAGATTGATACGAGAAATTGACATTTCATTAAAAATCATTATCGTTACTTTTTCTATTTCTCTTCAAAACACAAAATTGATCAAATCGATCGATAATTCCTCCATGATGCAAAGCAAAAGTCAATGATCTTTAATTTTGCAAATTTCGCAAATCGCAATCGTTGAAATGCATACGTGCAAAAATTACACGTTTACGCGAGAATTTCTAATCTACATTGTCGGATAAAAATCAGGATAATTAAAAAAAAAAAAAAAAGAAGGAGAAAACTTGTTTATCCATTAATATGCTAATCAACGATACACATGAATCTTTCCACTTTATTAAATCTTTACATCGAATTCCTGCATGAGTAATTTCTATTCAGACGTCGATTTGAACTTTAGATAGATATCAGATTGCGAGAAGTGATAGCCGTGTACCGATACTGGTAATTATTTTCATGTAGTTTCAATGCTTAAAATATGTGTTGCTCATCCATATATCAAAGTTCACTTCGTCGAGCTGCTTTATTTCATCTACACAATTCTTTTCAGTTTTATCGCAAACTGCGATGCAAAACTGCGATGTTGTTCGACAGATAAAAACGACAAAGTGTTGTAACTTACGTGTTATTTAATTGTCTTAATTGCCCTATCTTTATAATTTCTTGCTTAGAACTTGTTCGCCTTTATAAATTATTGCACATTGTATAATGCACTGCACCATCATTCATTCATTATAACACATTAGATATTGATATTTTTATCTTTCATATCGCTCGAATCTTTTCAATCTTTTTTCTAACTTTTCTTATAATGTTTCATTAAAATATACGATACCTTTCTCATTTCAATCGTGAAAAATCTCGTAAGCGTTAACGAAACTTCGAATCGACAGTGAAAAACTTTAGTATTGCCTCTCTCTTTTCCAATCTTTCATTCATTTTCTCTACTCTTCTTTTATTAGCAAAATCGTGACTCCTACACGATAAGTGTTTTAAGTGAAAAAGTTACAGAGTCGAGTATGAAGGGAAAAATTCATTCAGCCTTTCATTCATAATCCGAAAAGGAGAAAAATAAAAAATCCGTTTTATTCTCATTAAAATTATCATCAAAAGGACGTGATCGTATAAGAATTGTTTTGTGTTCTCGATTTCAAATTGTATAAGCGAACAGTTACTTTGATATTTAGATACACTTACTTCTGAATTTATAGTTTAAATAACCTATTCAAACAAAATTTTTACAAAATTTTTAAATTATAAATTAATACTCGCGCACAACATGTTCGCAAACAATTATTCGAAATTAATTAATTATTTAACGAACGAAAAATAAGAAATTTATTCTCTCGATTTATTTCTAATTTTACCTTTACTTTAATGGAATGGATGAAAGAAATGCCTCCTCGACGATCGATCCATGAACGCATACCACCAAATATTACCATCTCCGTAAAGTTACCTCTTCTTCTCCCGAAGAAAAAAAGAAGAAAAGAGACACGAAAAGAAGAAGAAATACACACGCGAAAAATCAATAATTACGCGTAAT